GACCGACTGCTATAGCAAGGACACGTCTGGGAAGGCAGGCTTTGTGGTCACCCATAAAAAAGCAGCAGATTCCGAAGTTCAAAACAAGCCACTCCAAGGAGCCTCAAAGAGGAGGTGAGGAGACGGTACAAGAACGAGTTCACTTAGTCTAGATCAAGGTAGGATACCTTCATAAGAGCAGAAGCTCTACAAAGGCAGTGAGCCCAATGATGGTGCTGGATCAACGCCAGGGAAAAGAAGACGCAGAGAGACCGTCCAGGGCTGATCAGCAGGGGCTGCTACGCTCCTTCAGCAAGCGAGGGGCCCGTCCCGGTACGCTCCCCCCAACAGTTCTCGGGAGCAGGGTCAACCGTTACGTTGGACCGATATTGGAGCGACGTTGGACCGATGTTGACCGCTCTCCGCGCCGGCATTCACTCTCGCCACCCGCGAGCCGTCTGTGTCTCCGTGCGTACGTTCACTCTCGGCATTACTCTCGTCGTCGCGTTGGACTTTGTCCAACGGACGGTTGACCCTGCTCGGGAGGCCACGTCCACCGATAGCTGGGGATATCTCCCCGATCGCTTGTCGATAAAGGCGAGCCGGGGATACCGTAATTTTGTAGCCACGGTATTGTCTTGATTGTCTTTCTTCTCTGGGTTGCTCACGGCTTATTGTTAGCTGACCTTCACTTCCAGTGGTTGAGTCAATGCCCATATAAGCCAGCAGCAACTTTTCGACGTCGCCCAGGTCCATCCCAGATGATTTGATGTGATATCTGGAAGTGCATTGATTGCATGAACATTGAGGTGATCTGGTCTGTCATGAGCTTCAAAAGTAAGCGGAAGCTCCCGAAAGAAATTTGTGAATATCTTTTGTAGCTAACGCTCATGAGGAATGAAGTCCTAAACAAGCACTCTTCTTAATGCCCATTTTACAAAAATAATAAATAATGAAAACAAATACGCGCAGCATCAAGGCCAATTGAAGCGATAGTGATTGAATAAATATTTTTTTACGATTCTTTGAAAGGTTCTCGAACGAACACTGAACAAAGCGAGTACTCAAACGTAAAGTTCCTCTTTCTTCTGAAAAAGGTTCATTGAAGGAGTAATTGTTCGAAGAGGAAGGGCAACCGGTTAGAGCGAGGTGCTTCTTGCCAGCCATTACCTATCAGCTGATTGAGGCCAGTTGGGGGAAAGTGTTTTCCCCGGGTCACCCTTAGGAGAAATCCCATAATACACCCATCGTATATAACCCCAAACCAACACAGTAATCAGTCTCTCGTCTTCGCCCGTTATAACAGACGACCGGGTGTCCGACTGAATTGCTTCCTCTTGGGAGAATTTTTGGGTTCAGCTGATTTCATCCCGTTTTCTTATTGGATTCAAAACACATGATAGGATTGGGTAACGAACAGAGGACCCATGAGAAAAAAAGACGAAATCCAAAACAGTGCGAGTAGGGAGATCGCAACAGTCGCAGACCGAGCGCTTGATTGATTATCTGGCTGATAGCGCCACTCACAACCTGTTCTTGTTGAGAACAATTGATTCATTCGAAATCCACCTTGGTGAAGGAATCTGATGGACGAATTCGAAGAATTGCGTCACAGATGCGTCGTCTGCGCTCTCTCACCTTATCAGCAGCTCCTGACCATTGTGATCTCACACATTCAAACTTTTGCCACACTGTAGTTGGCTCACCCACCTCGAAGTCCCTCCCTCCTACAAGGCTTAGTCCTAAGGCGGTAAGATGTCAGCTCGTGAGCTGCCCGCCATAAGGTCCTCGTGAAGTTCCAAGAGCAGGAGAGCAACACGGCCTCATACGAAACTGCAAGCGCTTATGATCCTTTATAGATCATTTCCAGGGTGAAACTCGGGTTCGGGGGGGGGGGGCACGCGATGGCGCGGCGCTCTGTTCGTCTGCTCCTCCAAGGCTTAGTCCACAGGGACAGTTACTCTTTCGCCATTATGTGGCAGTTTCAAAATACGCGCCATCGGTGACAAGCCTTGGTAGAGCAGACGAAAACAGCGCCGCGCCTTCGCGTGGATCGGTTAGCGGATTACTTGAACCCGGTCCTTTAAGCCGCCTCAGATCCATCTCTCGTCTGCGCTCTCTCACCTTATCAGCGGCTCCTGACCATTGTGATCTCACACATTCAAACTTTTGCCACACTGTAGTTGGCTCACCCACCTCGAAGTCCCTCCCTCCTACAAGGCTTAGTCCTAAGGCTCTCACCTCCTTCCATGGGATTTGGAGCCGAGCAGGCGCCGTTATCTAACTGTCTATGCCCGCCCGTAGGACGGTTC